CTCATTTTGTCTCTCATAGTTGAGGTATACCTATGATGAAAATTACAGGCCTCTCTCATCTTTTTAAGTGGGAGAACTTGCACAATTGGTGGCTGACTAAATACTTTTTTGCCCCACTGTATGTGGGGGCGTGTTCGAACGAGCCGTTTTAGGTAGGTGTGGCTAACTTAACTTTTATAAAGAATATCTCTTTGGATTTGAGACTTTAGTCTTTGCAACTTTACAGATCTTCTTTATGCACCAAGAGCTTGTAACACTCTAAAGAGAAAGGAAAAAATGAAATCGCATCATATGACCCCTTTAAATCTGGTAGAAAAGAGCAACCTGAAAATTACAGGTCGGAAAGTAATGACTCGTGATTTAGTAAATCAAATGTTAATTCAGTCACCGCTCTGATTCAGTGAGTTCATTATGTGAAAGAATCACCAGATTGGATTCAGTCCCATAACTCATGAATCTTCTTGTGCAGTCCATTAAAAGAACCAGTTCATAAGAGTCATTTGCTCTTGAATCGGACTTCACTAGAAAAGAGCGACCAGTACATTATCAAGATTTCTCATTTTGTGTTCCACAGAAGAAAGAAAGCAAGCCATATGAGTTTAGAACCACATTTATTTTTGAACCATTTCTTCAAGGCAGTCCTCTACAAAGCAGTGTAACTAAACTTACTATTAGCAGGCATATTTTTTTAACGCTTCTAACAAGCTTCCCCAATGCCTTATTCCCTTGCCGATTAACACGGAGCGGCTACTGTGATCTGATCCGTCTGATGCTTTGACTCCTGTAGACGAGACGGAAGACTCTTTTTAAAGAAACAAAGACGCTGCTACTGTCCTGTCTTTAAGGCAACATGTCTTTCCCTCCCTATTCCCATGACAACGAGCAAACCCTCATTTAACCCTGGTTCACAGAAGAATAGGCCCTACGTTTTTCTGTGTGTATTCAGAGCATGGATTCGCCGCCATTGACTTCAATTGAGATTCAAAAGACAAGGGCTTTTTTGGTGCTGCGTTCAGCCTTTTAAAGGAAATGTACTGCAGGCAGTCCCCAGAGCCTCGCCCGAGCTGTCGTTCCCTGCTACAAATGCATAAATAGATCAGGGAATACATAAATCAAAATAAGGATGACAGCAGGAGCGATTTGGAGGCGGAAAGAAGCGGCAATAAAACTCCATCAATGTGTCGTTTTTTTTTGGCGTCTTTTTTTTTTTCTGCGAGAGCATCTTTGGAACCTTCAGGAGGTCTCGGCCAATCAGTGGCTGGCATGGCCAATCACAGGTAGCCTGGCAGCAGGGAGGATGGTCACCATGACAACCCCCAATATATGTTACACAGTCATAACAGCCCAGGATTTTCCCCCCCTTTTTGGGATAAGTGGAAGCAGCAGACTGGAGAGGTATGAAGAGACAGAATGCTTGTCATACGGCGACAAAACAAAAACCTCTAGTATGTAGTGGCACTTTTTTTTTATATAGATCAGATACTGTTTCTTGGCTTGTTTTCACCCTTACGTTTTCCCATGCAACACTCTTTTCCATATGGAACTTCTAATTGGATTTCCCACAAACTGAAAAATCGAAATCAAGTTTTTGTTTTTTTTGGGAACAAAAGAAATAATGTGGCTTGAAAGGCTAGTGGTTTGCACACATGCTGAAGGCGCAGTTAGCTGTGGTGCTCGTATGGGAAATTCTGGTTCGATTCCAGTCAGCGTTGTATGAAAATCCCGTCCTGACACCTTCTCTTAAATATAAAATTTGATTTATACATAATATATATTATTATATCTATACATTTTATATATAAAGAAATTAAGCCAATCTTCTGTTAAATTTTATCCAATTAATTTATCACACAAATATTTGACTGATTAAATGTTCTCTAAGCATTTTTTTTTCTCCAGGTAAATTGTTTCCTATTTTTTTTTTTTTTTTCACAATTTAGCGATTCTTAAATGTGGCTGATTTGGGGTCCTGATTTGGGTAAAATAAGACATAACTAAAGAAAAAAAATCTTTTATACAATTAATTGATTTACAGGGGTGTAAAATACTATAAATTTTTCTTGATTACTGTACTTGAGTATTATTTTGGGGAATTTTTTTTTTTTTACTTTATTCAATTTAAATGGACTACTTTTACTTGAATATTTTTTTATTTTTTTTGCTACGATACTTTTACTTTTTAATACTTAATTTATAGTACAATTTAAAGTTTTACTTTTTTACTTTTACTCAAGTATGTTTTGGCAAGATAATTGTTCTTTTAATTAAGTGAGAGTACAGATACTCAATGAAAATTTTACTGAAGTGTATTTTTTGAGTGCTTTTTACAGCCTTGTTAATTTATTACAAAAAATAATCAACAGATTAAATGTTCTCTATAAGCGTTTTCTGCCATTTTGCTAACATCCACTGTTTTCCGTTCTTCAAACCCTGCTGCTCAAAATCATCACAAAAAAACCCAAACATGCAAAATGATTGACAGCCAGATGGCTTTTTTGATTGGCTAATTACTTGATTGGCTAAAAATCAGTGACCCTTATTTGCTGTTTTCAGAGCCTATAGAGCTGATGCATAATAGAGACATTTTTGTGTGGTTTTCCTAAAATAAACAGTTTATTAACACTAAATTCTTCTCCCTATTTACAGACACAACCAATAGAATGTGAAGAAGCCCAAAATCTTAAAAAATGGCTGAAGCATTCTGAACTCTTCAGCCTCTGTTGCATAATATATGTCTGGTGTCTACGTTTTTTATTTAAATTTTTTTCATTGACCAGTCTTTCTTTTCCCTCTCCAGTCTGAAGCTCGAATGTGACAAGCTGGCCAGTGAGAAGTCAGAAATGCAGCGTCATTATATCATGGTAAGTCTGCACTGAACGCGCTCTCCTCCAGAGGGACGTGCCTTACGTTAGATGTGCGGGAACATATTAACATCCGCCAGAAACTAACCTAGCCCTTACCTGTCTTATTCCATTGTGTCTTATTCTCGGTCTGCACTGTCTTTTCTGCTGCTCTATTACCATTCTGTACCTCCTGTCCACGCGGAGGCGTCATGCACCAAATATATTTATTTATTTTTTTGAGGGGACTTCAGTGGCGTAGCTGGGCTCACTTGGTATTCTAGGCGACTTTATTAAAGGAGGTTATATTACATTTTCTTTTTTTACTTGTTTATTTATTTACTTATTTAAAATTTGATGGTTCTTTATATATTACTTTTTATTATTATATATAGTATATTTACTTACAAACAATTTCGTAGTTCTTATTATGCATGTGTATATATATTTTTTTCAGTTAAGTGATTCTTGCAGTATGTACTGTAGTGGTTGTTTATATTATATTATATTATATTATATTATATTACTTAGCTTTATTTTATTTATTTACAACTTGGCAGTAATTTTTTTTTCTCTCAGTTTAGTGGTTCTTATGTGGCAGTTCTTAGTCTTATTATATTCTTTATGATATGGTTCTTTATTATGTATGATTATTTGATTTATTTATTTATTTACAAACAACTTTGGCTCTTAGAAATTATATGTATTTTTTTTTTTCAATATGTGGTGATTTTTCTGTATATTTTTTGTTGGATTTATTTATTTATTGTTTTTTTCAATTTAGTGGTTCTTATGTAGTATTATATTTTAGCTTTAAATAATTTATCAACAACTTTGTGATTATTATTAAATTATATTGTTATATATTTGTAATTATTTATTTACTTATCAGTTCTTATATTTGGCAGTTCTCACAGTCTTATATTATATTATATTATTTTATATTATGTTATATTATATTTACTTTCAATGCAAGTAAATTTTTTAAGAAGCTGCCTTCAAAATCCATTTTCCTCAAAAATCTATCGGTTTAAATTTGGCTGTGATGCTTCTGGCTCCATCTTGTATGATCTGACTTCATCTCCTCCCTAGTCTTCTACCTCCATCCCTTCCTTTTCTACCTTGCCTGCCATTCTTTCTTTTGTCCATGTACTCTGCTCTCTCTTCTCCTCCATCCCCCGATGATATTCCCTCCCCTCTGCTCTAACAGTGTTGTCTCTGGCCCGGGCCTCGTGTTGCCGTCTGATATTCCGCCTCTAATTGATCCGTCGAGCGGCTTAATCTCATTTAATCTGTGTGCCGTTGCTCTCACGCGCATCAGCCAGAGCGCCCTCCCTCCCTCTAATAGCCTATCGGGTTCCCCCGCTCTGTCCGCACCCGCTGGAAGATAGGGAGGGTGGGCGTCCGCTTTGCCTTGGTGGTAATTGCTTTAGGGACCTACTACTGCTTGGCAAAGCCGACCCTGATCCAACTCTGGCTCCATCACTGATGCTCCCTGCTCTTGTTTAGCGGCCGAGGTTGTGTTGCACTGCTCGTAGACGTGTGGATGATGAGCGAGGCTAACACTTCAGCACTTACTTACGCACATGTTACGCTGAGGTCCTAGATGTTCAGTTCTGTGTATTAGAGCTGTAATGCGGCATAATCATGTCTGACTTGCTTTATTTCTTTGCAGTACTATGAGATGTCCTATGGGCTGAACATCGAAATGCACAAGCAGGTGAGTTTGTCTAATCTGATGAATAACCCACATCCCTGAGAGGCAGTTTACACGCTCACATTTTCATCTTCATCGCTTTTGCTCAATGTTTTTGAATGCTGGTGCTTTAGTCTATGCACAGAAGTGTCAGTGGGGAATCAAACTATGCCTTAACAATTTATGAAAATTGGTTTATTCATGGCCAGCTTTGTGACTACACTTTCTAGGGCATGATAGCTGGGATATTTTTTTAATGAATATGGGATGCATTTGATGGACAGCTGGTTATTCTAACAATTCAATTCCAATAATGCTCACAACTCTCTGTTTTTATAACAGTAAAAGCATTTTTTTTTGTGTAGTCTTGATGGACAGCTGGTCCAAAAAAAAAAAAAAAAAAAAACACTGATAAAATATGAATAAAAATAAAATAAAATATAAAATAAAATTTCAGTCCATAGGAAGTAACCTTTTTGACTTTTTTGTGCTTGGCTTGCTATCACTTTTTATGTGATGATTTTTTTTGTAAATAAATGTTTGTGTGTGTATATATATATATTTATTTCAAATAAATTCATCAAAGTA